GTACTGTGGTTTCAAAGCACAAAAGTGATAGAACGAAGCGGATATCTTCAATATTTTCCGAATTGAATATTTTCCCATAGGCTTAACATTACGACGTAATGACCTCTAACTGACCTCAGGTCAGCGACATAAAAACCCGAACAATATGTTATACAACTCGGTGAACTTAGTACATCCTGAAAGTTTGAAGGAAATCAGTCCAAAATTGTGAGTTGGACAGGTGCATAAACAAATTGAAATTTGACCATGACCTTGTACCGGTTGTTCTGACCTGGTGACCTGACCCAAGGTCACCCGGATCTGAAATTTTCAGGTCTCATGTAAAAAGGTTGCCCCATAGGCAGTGCCAAATTTGGCGGTGCTGTGCGCCGCCGTTTTTACGCTATCTTTGAAAACCCTTAGGGGGTGGGGTCGCATCGACCCCGCCCCTTGCCAGGGCGAGGGTTAACATCTATGATAGCTGCTTCGTTCACCATTGCTGTACTTGCTGGACGCTGCTATACTGGATGATACTGGATGCTGCTGCAGATTTTCTGTAAACCCAGTGGCAAATCCTTGTGGCTCCTGGCCATCTTGTGCTAAATCTGCTGTTACATGCATGATTTGGTTGACGAGAATACAGAAGAAATATTGTTTATAATCCAGTGTTTTTGTTGGATATGCTCGAGATTTTTTTTTTTCGTCTGCTGGTTATTTATTACACTATAGCTAAACTGTGTCTCCGAAATGCGCGAAAGAAATAGGAAGAGACTGGTTCTTATTTCAGCCTCACAACACACGTCACGTCATAGCATCATAGTAACTTTTTTTGCAATCATAACGGTATAAATGATCCATATTTGTTAAAATTCCAGCTGGAAATGCTCTGATTATGTCAGTTGGGGCTTGTGCAATGTGCGTCCTGCCCAAAATTAGGAGTGACTCAACCCGTATATTTGGGGTGACATCACACCCTTTTTGGAAAACTCCAGAATGTTAACTTTATCTACTCTAATATAAGTACTGTATTTGGGATGAGTACCTTTTTGGGAGTTTTGGAACCACTTAGCATGTCTCGTTTTCGGTGTGACATTACTCCACAGACAAATTTAAAGGAGTTTCACTTGCAGAACAGGAGTAGTGAAACTCCCTTTTGCGATCATAACTCCGGAATAAGGAGTAGTTAATAAGGAGTTTTATTACTCCTCTTAGGTTCCACTACTCCCTATTATTTTTCACTCCCTAAAAGGGAGTTTCAATTGCGTTTTACAAGGGAGTTTCAAAACACCAAGGGAGTAATGAATCGCCTTTTGATAGTTTTAGGGAGTTATGGATAGAACTCCAAAATAGGGCGAATATCTACTCTAATATAGGTACTGTATTTGGGACGTCAGAACCCCACCTAGGGGAGTAAATATTTTTTTCCGTGTGGGTTCGCATGTGTGTGCGTGCTCACATGGCAAATGATAATCCATGGCTTATTAGTACATAAATAATTGCAGTATGCCCAGCAGGTGGTATGTCATGTATTTTGGCAAGGTATTAGGTGGTATGTATTTTGGCCCTGGAGCTGTTTTCTATTCATTGCAGCAATGCTGCCGGCGTGGCTTATGTGTACCATGCGCACACAAGCTCCACCAATGTAAAAATGTCATTTTCACACAAAACTCATAATTGGAGGAAGGTAGAGCAGACCAAGAATAAGCGGGCATTTGCTGCAGTGTGGAAAAAGTCACTAGAGGCTTGATACTTTTTTTTACATGCAGCAGCCTGGAGATGTCCACAGAGGCATGCCTGAGGATGTCCACAGAGGTGGATCCAGGCAATAGTTTTTACAATCTTCTCCCCTTGTGCCCGCTGTGTGTTGTGCTGACTGCTTGTCCCCCTTCTGGTGGTGCCTAGACTTGCCTCTGCATATCTCCCCAGGCTGCTGCATAATGTCTAAAAAAACCCTCAAGCCTCTAGTGACTTTAATCACTCCAGTCTCTACAGCATATGCCCACTCATGCTACAGCTGCCTTAACAATACCAAAATTAGTAACAATGGTCTCATAACCATATTCAGTAGGAAATGAATTACCTAGAAAATTATATTAAAAAATACACTTGCTTTCAAAAAGAATGAGCACTGCCTTAAAATGCTAGGTGTGAAATAATGCTAGGTTTCTGAACCACAAATTCCAATTCTGTGTCACTGAATACTGATTGCCAATTGTGCAAGACAAAAAGCGTCATCGAAGATAATGATGTAAGATAGTTCTCATTTTAGCCTGAAGTGTAAAAACCAAACCTAACCTGATTTGGGTATTTGGGTAAACCAAGCCTAACCTGATTTGGGTATTTGGGTAGTTTTTATGATGCTAAGCAATAGCCTATTCCAGGCTTCCTAATATGCAGAGCTTTTGGTTAAAAAATGATTTTTAAAAATGTATTTGAAGTATGTTCTGACATGTCCGCCCTCTGTGCCTGGCAGACAAGTCACAGCGTTACCTGATGAGTCAAGAGGTTCTGTACCTGATGTACCTGATCAAGAGTACCTGATGATTCTGCAACACCACCTGATGGCCAACTCGACGGCATTGCTGACCCGAAAAGGAGTCTAGCAGCTGAATGTTCAACTTCTGCCACTGCACTGTTGACTCTGCCTAGAGACAGCATCTGCACCACGGCCCACAGACGATCTTCCGTGGGACGGTGTGCTGCGCACCAGTCACCACACTGACGGCGTTCACCTGTGTGCTGCACAACTTTCTGTGAGGTCAGGAGATCGACACTGACGGCCCCGGACGGTGTGCTCTGATTGCGCCGAGTGTGACTGTGCTCCCTCGTGTCCGGGCCTTGATGCCAATACCGCACGCGAGGCGGCGCGCGTCCGCCAAGCCCTCACATACTGCGTCCAAGGTGCAGGTGGTGTTCGGTGACAGTGTGCAGCTTCTGCCGGCCCCGTGGACGGCACCGCGTGTGACCATGGCATGTGCATTCGATTTTCTGACATAAGTGCAGTGAATTCATTTGTCATTTTACTTCTGAATGCTGTCGCCGCTCGGTAGGGTCGATTCTGCCAGAGTAAAGAGGTCGCCACGATCGGCGCCGGTGGGCAAGGAGCAAGGCACTCAGCAATCAGCTGCCGGGAGGTGGCGGCGGCGGCGGCTGACGACTCGGGCCTCGAAAATCCTGTCGTGTGCGTTGCTGGCTATTATGCGTTGTTGGTGTGCGCTGTTTTGCAAGGCCTTTGGAGCGGCATGTCGAGTTTTGAGTTTTGGACGAAGGAGCCTTGGTGTTTTGTTGGTCTATTTTCGATAAAAACGGTCATGAAGAGTGAGCTGTGTCCAGGCTGATTTTAAGATTTCTGTCACAGTATTGTTACCTTTGACCTAGGCTTGTCTCTTCTTGGGTATCGGCATATTGTGCCACCGTCCTTGCCCCGTGTCCGCGCGTGCTGCATTTTTATGTGGTCGCGCGTATGGTGTCATATACTGTCACCTCGCCATGTTTAGTGATATCCACTGTGTGGAAAAATGCATTTTGTTATAAGGGGGGGGGGTACACTTGTGTTCCCCAATCCAGCGCTTTAGATAATACAGCATCTGTTTTTGACATAATGAAAGCCTGTGTTTTACCTATGTGGGTGGTAGGCTTCGCCGTTCCTCAGGTCCGTTTCTGGCATTTGAATTTCTGCTACATTTCTAGAATGCCTTTTTTCTGTTTTTCACATACAAAGCACGGTTCAAATGTGTGACCACAAATCACTGTGATTGTCCCATGCTTACCACCAACCATTCCTTCAATGCTAATGTCGTTACAGCGAAGTTATTCATTTATTGAGAACAGGGTTGTAGTTGAATAAACAAGACAGGTGAGCAAAATCTGCAGCACTCGTAGTCTTGGCTGATGCGTTAGGAAAAATGGAGGAACTGCAAGTACACATCACTTTTCAGTTTTATGCTTGAGTGCATTGAATTCCAATGTAGAAGAATCGCAGTTTGATTGAATTTTCATTGATATTATGTATTGTTTCAATAATAGATCTAATAAATATTATTCCAATATTACCTAGACGGTAGTTATCATCCTGCAAAACATGTCCAAATATTTAGTACCTTGAATAATGCAGTAAAATAAGCTGCGCCGCTGCATGTATCAGCAGCGCAATATCTGGTGCCAACTCAAGGTCAAGCGGGTCACGTGACAGTTGAGCGGCGGCTGGCTAGAACAGTCGCCGGCGACTTCAAAATGTTGGAAAAATTGAACTTTCTCGGCAACGCCGACAACTCTTCAATGATTGGCTGACACGACTGCTACGTCACACCCCGGCGACTGGTCAGCTGATATCGACAACTGCGGAGTTGCCGGCGACTGACCCCGGTCGCTGGCGATCGCCGGCGACAGTTGCCGTCGCCGGCGACCGGAAAAGTTGCTACGTGTGAAAGGGCCATTACTGGGCGTGAATACTCAACCAGAGCCGCAGGCAGTTAGTCGTGTCTGCGTGAAAGCTGTCTAGATTCTGTTCAGATGAGGATAGAGATAGGTAACGAACCTGACCAGGGCCACAGTGAAAGCCGAGAGATGTATCACTGGTCCCGTGAAACACGTCATTGGTAGTGGAGGAGAACGGAGGACATTTGTGTTTTTACACATACATGATGTGTATTGCTGGGCGGCGGAGTAATGGTGGTAGCTGACATTCGTCCCAACCATTTTAATTTGCGCCAGAGCGGGAGTTAATCACTGCGCCTTTGGAAAGAACCAGGGGCTAAAGACCAAAGTAACTGCCTCAGCAAACACGAAAACTATGCAGCCTTCTGAGGAAAGGTGTTAATCTGAGTTAAAGGTGATAATCAGCTCAAACGGTTTCGGTCTTCTTTGTAGAATTCTTAAGTTAGTCGGTTAAGTAGGAACAAGCTATTAAGGTCAGACATATACGCCAATTACCCGCTTATAAATGCGTGCTGGCTCAACTATCAGCCATACCTCAGGTGCTTGTGCTAGCTCCATGTGTGTTTGCAGGGCGGCGATCTCACCTTGTTTGCCAGCAGCACGCAGGGCACGCAGTCGCCGTTAGCCAGCTGCACCTTCTGGTCCAGGTCGTTTTTCCACTTCATGACGGCGTCGAAGGTGACGGAGCGTGATACGTCGAATACGACGAACGCCGCCACCGCCTCCTTGTAGTAGACGCGCGTCATCGAGCCGAAGCGCTCCTGGCCTGCGGACAGCCGGCGGTGAGGTCAGCCGGCGCGCGGACAGGTAGGTGAGCGATGGCAGCCCCACGGACGGCCGGCCGACCGCGGCCACCCGCCGCAGTGAAATGAATGGTCAAGATGGATCGCGGGGAAATACAGCATACCAACCATCTGAGGCGAGCACAGATCGAGCCACTCCGGATTCGCCGAAATCGGAGTTGATTCGCCGAAGCGACTGTGTCTTAACTGCAGTTAAAAAGGACGGCTTCTAGAGCGTAAACTGAGAAAATTCAGCATTCGTAGAGAAGGAATAGATTTCATCGCTGTCTTTAATTTCAAATCAACCGAGATGGTTTTCTCTCCTTTCCTTTTCTTCTTATTTATTGCGTTTGCGAGATGTCCAAAAAAGGTGCTCTCTTATTTATATTACAGCCAACCATTTTCGCTGATGGCGGAAAACTCTTGCAATAACATTATCAAGTGAGTGGGAAATGCACGACGTGTAAAACAGCGCTGATTTAAATAATAAAAATAATAAAAACACCCTAGGATGGCAGCGTAATGACCTTCCTCACCATCGTGCGAGTTAAAATAAGCAGTTACTCCGAACTCATCGAGACAGTGTTCAATGTTCCAAAGAGCGAGCTCAACTATGGACCCTATTGCAGCCTACCCTGTAAAAATCTTCATGCATGCCTCCAAAACAAGAAACTTTCTGACAGCTTAACAAGTAAGTTACATAATACATAATAATACGGTTTATGCTGTTCGGGTCTTAGCATAACTATGCCCACCACGTACTATGTCTCGGCATGAGTTGAAAGGTGGTGCAGAATGCAAGAGCCGCTCGTCCGTCTAATCCCATTACTGTAGCGGTAGATTCACTCGGGTGCGGGCCGTAATTGCCGACAATTAGAACGCTCAGTTTGCCTCTAATACCGCTACCAGGACCGCACTACTTTGCAGATCGCCACCGCCGCTGGACCCACCTGCGATATCCCACAGCTGCAACCGCACGGTGGTGTTGGGGTCCCAGTGCAGCACTTTGAGCGCAAAGTCCACGCCGATGGTGGCACGATAGTGATCCGAGAAGAACTGGTGCACATAGCGCTTGATGATGGACGTCTTTCCCGTACCGAGCTCGCCGATGATCAGAATCTTGTAGAGGTGTTCACGCTTGTTGCCGACCTGCCGAGGGGAGAGAGGGGGGGGGGGGGGTCAGGGTGGTCTGCTTGGGGTGCAGGGGGCTGTGGTCAGGTTGGTGGTACGATCCAATGAGTAGTAAAAATTTTGGTTTTAGTCACCATCAATTACTTTACGTATCCTGCCTTTCCTTGGCGTCATTGAATTATTTGTGATGTGTTAATGTACTCGACTCATATGGATGTCACGTGTTGTACTTTTGTTTGCTCATAAAATTCAAAATTTGTTTCCAAATACCCTGGTGAAATCCCATGGACGAAATATAGGTCAAGGTTCAAGTTTTTCTGGTGTTTTAATTATACTTTCATGAATATAATACGAGCAAAAACTATTTCATTATATAATTATCTAAAAACTTTAACAATCATTGAAGTAGGTATAGGCAATGCGTAATCATAACAGCAGCGTGACAATCATGCCCATTATATTTCCACATAACCACGGATGCCATATACCATTAGAATAGTTGTAGGACGACAAATACCGAAGCATTGGTACATTAGAGGCTCAATGTCTAAATATAACCTTCTGCACCATACGTGTCGGAAAAGATCAACATGTGCATTCTGTGGTTCACGAGGGCTGGCGCCTCAGCTCTTCTTATATAACGGACAGCGCTCGACGCTGCACTGGTTGGTCGGGAACCATGCATAAATTTCAAGGTCGAATGTCCTGTCATTGACGGTAAAGGCGGGCCAGCATACAATCATTGAATAGCGAAGCAGATGTAAACGTTTTTCTATTGCCTCTCCATCGTGTCAGAATTACAACACCACCCCTGCATGCACGTTAACCGATAAAACTTTCACCTAACTCAATTAATGTTCACACAAAGATGCATCATGATCACATTGATTTACTTCCAACATAACTGATATTGTCCAAGTTGTTTATTCCTTTACTGGTTAAGCTTGGCATGTGTCATTCATCCGTGCTAATCATGCCAGCATCTTTTCGTAAGTGCATTCCAGTCACGTCTCTGGAGCGCCGCCTCAATACACCCCCTCCTATGGCTGATACTACTATAAGCTGTTGGAATTCACCAGAAAACCATTCGCTCGCCCGTCACGTCGGTCGGCGATGATGCTCTCTGCCGTTAGTGTGATGCCCACCAATGGGATCGGTACCAGCCGCATACATACTTGATCAGCGCGAGGGATATCGGTATCAGATTAGGCAGTGTACAACACAACGGGACCTATTAATCGTCCGACGGTTTTTGCCAGTGCCAGTGGCGTGAGAAACATGGCTACAGTTTTCTTGCACCGAACTCCACCCAGCTTGAGCAGCCATAAATGTCGAGAACTATAAAATTAAAATGGCACGTCTAATGTCATCTGGAAAGTTTCTGATTGCCTGTTTTGATGGCTGATTCAATTTTAATATCGTCAATTGAGGTTACACAAAGGCACTGTCTATTGATGTCAAGAGTGAACCACGAGGTGCTGACTGCTGAGAAACCCAATTCCAAACAAATACCCGCCCAAAACGCTGGAAAAAAATAATAGGCAATTCTGATAAACGAAGGCGACCAAATTTATGCCAAAGTGACGACATTTCAGACAATGGTATGGATTTATGAAACCACACTGGTGAATAGGATGGCTCTAAATATCCAGTACCAAGCGGCATCGGTCTATTATTCGTATGTGGTTAACATCCGATAGACATATCATACAGTGCTGTCGTGGAGACGCTGTCCCACTCCCATTGTTTGGCATTTGGCAGGATAATGCAATTATACAAATGGATATCATTTTCAGTGCACTAGTGCCTGAAAAGCGCTTCACGTCGAGAGGTTTCTATTTGGTGAAAGGTGAAGCTTTCGCAACGGTGCTTATTGCACGACATCAAACAACTGTATTCACGGAGAAAATATTTACTCCCCGAAGGATTTACGAACACCTTATTTCGGAAACTCCTTTTATGGGTGTTCATATACCACTAACTTTGGAGTATTTCATGACGAGGCAGAGTAACTTTAGTATCTCATTGGATGTACCAGAGTAAATGAAGGAGCCTGGGACTTGGGAGTTCTCCTACTCCTCATGCATAACTGTTTGGAGTATTGAAACCCGGTAAGATGGAGTTTAATGGATAAAATTCCAAAACAAAGCGAAAATCTACTCCAATATAGGTACTGTATTTGGGACGTCAGAACCCCACCTAGCGGAGTAAATATTTTTCTCCGTGTAGATTAGCATCTAGGACAAAAATGGGAAAGATCATAAAATGAAAATAGCGCAGTTATCATATTCCCAATAGGTCTTCCTCTCAGATAATTGTCCCGGCTCTAGCGTCGCCAATTTGCCGGTGCCAGGTCGGACACCTGTCTGCCCCGTGCGCCCGCGCTGCAACTCTGCAGGCTGCCGCCCAGCTTTCTTGCTACTACGGCAGTGACCGTGCAGGACGGACGGGACGGGACGGGTGGACAGGAGTCGCCCGCCGCCGGCGGTGCGGGCTAGCACGCCCGCGGTCCCATCTTATGTAACCGCAGTATACGACCGTCTGGGAGGTGCTCGCGCTGCCGAGCGGTCGGTAAACCCGCCATCCACTGCCCGGCGTGCTGTGTCACGGCAGCGGGGATTGCAGCGCAACGGCGGCGAAAGCGGTGAACAGACGCACCGGCGCGACGTAAGTGGCGCACAGGAGACGAATGGGGCAAACAGGCGGCGCCTGCTGCGCATGGACGTGTGTTTGAGAAGGAACCCATCACTCCTCAGCCGCATGGAGTCGTTCACTGACTGGCCCGGCTCCCGTAAGCCGCTAGCTAGTGGTTGAGCGCTAGCGCTGTAGTGGAATAGGCCAGACTTAACCGGTGGTGTACAGGTCTCGCGGATTTTAGAGGTAGGTTTTGCACCTAGACAATTTAGTGTACTTCAGGCTATATCTTCGTCGTCTTAAGCTTTTAAGTGTTGAAGATGCGATCGACTTGTTGGTTCACAAGCCGGCCATGATCGTGTAAAATGGCTTCATCGTAGATCGATTAGTATAACCAGATATAACCAGATATAAATTTAGTGTACACCTGAGGTATAACCAGAAATGTAAAAGTGCAAAACCTACCGCTTCATCTCGCGAGAGCCGTACCTACCTTATCGGGCATGCGGGAAGGGTTCGACACGGACAGACATTCGTGACATAAGGTCGGGCATTACGTCTCGGGCCATAAACTGTACGGGTGGAACCGTACGTCGGAAGAGAGACATACGGCCGTCCGTGTGTCGGGGTCCGGCCGACAGGAAGGATCTGATGTATCGATGGGCACAGATGGGACGGCGCGATAGCGCACTGACGCCAAAAGACCACCGGCACGACTAAAAACTACAAAGGAGACCTAGTTATTATGAAGCATTCTGATGCCTATACGTGTGTACAATCTACTCATAACAGAGGGGTACCTAATGTTCAATTACGCTACCGAAATATTACCTTAGAGGCTCATAGGCTGCGGCAAGTTAAATCCTATCGGTTTTTGAGCTTTTGCTCTTGCGTGATCCATGGTTATATCGTTAACCCGCGCCCCAGTGGCGGTCTCAGCCAACTTCGCCCTAGTGGGGGGGGGGGGGGGCATATGTTACCACCCACCTCTAACTCAAAAACTAAGAGGGCTAGAAAGACGCGGTAAAAAGCAGTCGATAGCTCTCAATGCGTACGTTTGAAAGTATTTCTGTCATTTTTCATCTTGGAGCAATATTGGGGTCACTGGAGGTAATCAAAGGTCAAAATTTGCCAAATGTCATTATATTTTTCAGAAAACATGCTTTTATCTCAGGAACTATGATAGCTAGAAAAGCGCATGGAAAAGCAATCGATAGCTTTTGAACTCTTCTTTTGATAAGGTCATTATCAAAATTGACCTCAGGTCAACGGTTTAGCCTCCAGAGGGCAAAAACTCCAAAAATAGCTGTTTTTCGCAAAGTGTTTTTCGACAATAACTATTGACTAGAAAAAGCCACGACATTTCTATTGCCAGAATCGTGTTCCTCTCGCCGAGACGCGTCGAATGAACTATAATTTGACCTTGAAAGGTCAACTTGAAAGTTTGACCTCAGGTCAAGGTCATGACCTGACCGGAAAAGTCATGTTGCATATCATTCGATGCGTCTCAACAAGACAAACACAATGAAGCCATCCCCAGCGTTCTATCTCTTTCCAATCGCGAGTTATTGGCAAAAATCTGTTTGTAGCCTCAAATGACCTCGGATGACCTTTGTAGAGGCTATCAGCAAAAATGACACCTTGGTCATCACGGGTGGTCCAAATCATTGTGATTCTCAAATATTTGGACTGTTCCTATGCGTACACACGGATCTAGAGGCATTTTTCATTTTTCTCCATTGACTTATAATGGTAAGGTCACGCCACTGACCTGACCTTAGGTCACGAATATAAAAAATCCGAGATATACAAATTGTAGGCGCCCATAACATCATGCAATCCACCAAGTTTAAAACCTTTCTGACAAACACTGAAGGCTGGACATGATTGCAAACTTTTTTAGGCCTGGTCAAGTGGTCAGTTAACTTGACCTGGTGACCTGACCTGACATGACCTGGGGTCAAAAATTTCACACATTGTCTAAAATTGATGTGCAAAAAGCTATGCCAAGCGGCGCGGCACTACGCACCGCGGTTTTTTATTTATACGCAAAAAACGCGACAGGGTGGTAACATATGCCCCCCCCCCACACACTGGGGCGAAGGTTAAGTTCTGTGCATTGGCCTGCATATTGGGTGAGCCGATAACATGCAACAGCCTTGATCATGCAACAGCCAAATGGCCGAATCGCCAACGTAACCAGAGCTCAATAAAAATGAAATGCTATTCTAAAATAAATGTGCTTTCTTGCCAAAAGGATTATTTAGAGCTACTTCGCTTTGATTTATGGGAATATCGAACAAGCTTTCATGGTAATTATTGTTTCTTTCTGTAGCCTCCTATAAATATCGTCTAGCTGCGTCAAAGGAGCATGCTTTGGCCTA